TACATGTGTGGGAAAGATTCCTATTTGCTGCTTGCCTGGCAGTTGTTTTACAGCTCCTCCAAAAACTTGGCAAATAAGTAAAAACATTTGTTCATGAACCATACTTGCTTTTTTGCGAGATTCCAGCCAAGAGTCACTTGCGCTTTCACTTGAACGTTCTACACGGCTGCGATCATTATCATGATTTAGCGATGTTTTGTTGGTGAACATATAGTCCCCAAATTCCTCCAAACCTCTTCAGAAGGCGACAACATTTTTCGCCATTTTGAGGATCCATATTGGGTGACGTTCTTGAGGTACAGTCATCCTTATGTTTAATTTGAGCTTCAGTTGCTGCGTATAAAATAGATTCACTTGCTAAATAACTTGCTCTTGGGGTGAAACCGAATGAGACTGATGGTAATCACACCCCAAAGACAAAACTGGCGATGGGCAGTGGGAAATTTTCCAATCTAGAATACGGACAGTTTATGCACACAACAATTTGAAATTTGAAGTGTATTTGCGGATGGAAGGTGGTTTACCAAAAGGACATTTTGGGCGGAACGATTTTAAGCAGAACAAGAACTGTCTGGACGTTGCGCCCAAGTTAATTAGCTCTGCCTGAAACTCCTGCTTGTAAGGTGAAATGTTACTCCATTTATCTCGCAAATGATGTTTCAGAAAGAAAAAAATTTTCTAACATGCAATCTTGTAACGTTTTCAGTGCGTCCAAAAAAACTACTCAGCCTTGAATTAGAGACAAATTAATGTATCCTACAATAAACAATTACACTCAATATAAAGAGCCCGTTCACTGGATTACATTTGTACTGTTTTCATATGAAGACATAACTGTGGCGGACTAGGACCTTATGAGCGTGTTCGGATAAATTAAGAGGCAAAGTAACCAATACAAAATCACAAAATCACAATAGGAAAGGAATGAGTAGCCAAATGGAGACTCACGAATGTGTAGATCCAATAGTTTCCCTTGTCGGAATTTCCCACAGATAGTTCCGCGTGCGTGATATATTCCACGGTAGGAAAATTATTCACGGCTAAAAAATGTCACAGGGATTTACTGTGACGTTCAACAGTTGACACAGACACAGAGACTTGGTCCCACTGGGTCAGCAGTCAACAAACAGTTCAACGGAGCGTAAAGACGCTCGTTCAGCAAGAAGTCAGCAGGTCGCGCCGGAAAATTGTGTATTCGTAACATTAAAACGAACGTCATGATACAATGTGAACTACAGTTACAAAGTGTGGTTCAATTTCAGGAAGAATGGTAAATGTGACAACGGATTACAGACACTACAGTACTCCCCCCTAGAGCGTCAGGAATAATGGAAGGGAATGACGCTAGATAGTGTGACAAAACTCAAGGGGTGTAGTCTGCGAAGCGAACAGAAGTCTTGCAGGCTCGACCAACACGTGTTAGCTTCAGGGTAGGTGACGGGTGATTGTCAATGCGTCGTGCTGTGTTCGGGGTTCCCTGTGATGACTGTACTGGAGGTTCTGGAACTTGTGGGCAAAGTGACTACAGTAGGGGGATCTAAGTAAGATTCGTCATCGATGAATGCAACTTTGAGTCTGTCGATATTGACGGAGTCCGGTTTTCCGTTCCTCTCAATCAAAATGTACTTGTCCTTCCGAGAAATGACTTTAAACGGACCATCATACGGATATTGCAACGTTCGTTTAACGCTGTCAACACAGACAAAGACATGTGTACAAGAAGATAAACCGGGATCCAAATGTGTGCGCCGACCGAATTCAGACGGGCGGAGAGTACGCATATGATTTTGCAGTCAACTGACGCATGTCGGTGGTGGGAGGTCTTCATTGGGTGTGGATACACATACCACATCAACGGGAAGACGTAGCGTTTGTCCATAGACAAGTTGAGCTGGAGTGCAACCAATATCCTCCTTCACGGCATTGCGAATACCAAGTAATATCACTGATATCGATTCGGTCCACAGCTGTGATGATGATTTAGCCATAATGGCGGCTTTCAGTTGTCGATGAAGGGGTTCGACTAAGCCGTTGGCTGCAGGATAGTAAGCTGTAGTTTTGAAACGATTGCATCCCAATAAGTGGTTCAGTTCACGAAACAAGGAACAGGTAAACTGACTCCCACGTTCTGTAGTAATGCTCTCAGGGACACAAAAACTGGATACCCAAGAATCGATAAGGTGTCTGGCAACGGTTTCGGACGAACAATCGCGCATGCGGGTCGCTTGAGGCCAGCGCGTGAAGCGGTCGATTATTGTTAACACATAGGAACATTCGTTGGATGGCGGAAGTGGTCCAACGGTGTCTACATGTATATGCTGGAAACGGCGTGCAGGCAAGTTGAAACTTCCGGGTGGCGTAACTGTGTGTTTGTGAACTTTACTCAGTTGACAGGTTTTGCACTGTTTTGCCCATTGTCGGATCTCCTTCTGTATACCAGGCCACATGAAACGCTCACGAATCAATCGAGCGGTTGAGCGGATACTCGGGTGTGAAAGAGAGTGCAAATGCGTAAAGACTGACCGACGATATTTCTGAGGCACAAATGGACGAGGTTTGCCGGTGGACATGTCACACAGAATTTTAGAATCACAGTCTAAGAGCGGCCTATAGACGAACTTCAGGGAAGGATGTGATATAAGCTCTTATAATTCTTCGTCATGCTTTTGGCTTTCAGCTATTAATTGCAGATTGAACGGAGTGTGTACCAAGTGGTTGATATGGGGGATAGATAAAGCATCTGCAACTAAATTGCTGCGACCACGAATATGGCCGATGTCACTAGTGAATTGGCTGATATAATCCAACTGCCTGGTTTCCCTCGGTGAATAACGATCAGATGTTGCGTTGAGTGCAAAAGTGAGCAGCTTATGATCTGCAAGAATCACGAAGTGTCGACTTTCCAAAATATGTCGGAAGTGCCGAACAGCTAAGTAGATTGCGAGAAGTTCACTGCCAAAAGTGCTATATCGAGTCGGTGCAGGTTGTAAGCGATGTGAAAAGAATGATGAAGGTTGTATTTCACCGTTAAGCTCCTGTTGTGGGACTGCACCAACTGCGGTTTGTGAGGCATCAGTAACCGGGAAAAGATGTGTAGACGGATGAGGATTTATATGTGCCAAGTTAGTTGCCTGATTTAACACTACCTTAACCGTTTCAAATAACGCAGTGGCCTCCGCTGTGAGGGTGAATTTGTGAGTTTTTAGTCTGAATAGGTCGGTGAGCGGTTGGACAACCTCGGAACAGTTAGGGATAAAGCGACGGTTGTAATTGATAAGACCAAGGAAACGCCTCAACTTCCTAATGCTGTTGGGGGCTGGAAAGTCACAAATGGCGGAAACTTTAGATGATAGAGTACGGATGCCGTCCGAGTCAATAATGTGTCCTAGAAGTTCTAGTGACGAAACACCAAATTGGCGTTTACTACTATTGATGACTATACCATATTGCTGAAATCTTTAAAAAACTTTCTTTAAGTAAAGCAATGCTCGTCTTCGGACCGACTGGCAACAAGTACATCGTCGATATAAGCGTAGACGAAGTCTAATCCCCGTAAAACTTGATCCATGAATCGTTGAAATGTTTTGGCTGCATTTCTGAGCCGAAATGGCGTACGAACGGACTCATATAGACCAAATGGAGTGGTGATAGCGGTTTGTGAATATCGTTTGGAGCGACAGGTATCTGGTGGTATGCTCTGACAAGGTCTAATTTACTGAAGACAGCTTTGCCGTGAAGAGTAAGGGCAAAATCATGCAGATGCGGAATTGGGTTATTGTCCGGGATAGTGACACGATTTAGTGCGCGATAATCGCCACACGGTCTCCAAACTCCCTCGGACTTTTTGAGGACCATATGTAGTGGAGATGACCAGGGGCTGCATGATGGTCGTATGATACCCAGTTGAAGCAAATGTTGGAATTCGGTCTTGGCTATGGCAAGCTTTTCCGGAGCTAACCGTCGTGGGCGGGATGCGGTGGGTGGGCCTTTTGTCGAGATATGGTGAAAAACATCATATTTTACGGAAGTCTCCTTGGAAGAAGGCTTCAGGATCTCTGTAAATTGATGAAGCAGCGCTGTGTAACGGTTATCCGGCAAAGCTGGGCGGATTCCAATAGAATTAATGGATGAAGCTTTGCCATTTATAGAGAGAGTCGTCGAAATATCAAGCAACTGCCGTCTGTGGAGGTCAACCGGGAGACCAAATGACTTGAGGAAGTCCAGACCAATAATGTGTTTTTTAACGTCTGCCACTGTGAAAACCCACGGGAACTGACGGCGAAGACCTAGATAGAGAGTAAGAGGCTTTTTACCATAGGTCTTACTGCTCATACCGTTGGTTGCCTGCAGAGTATATGTCACCGGCTGTAGGTTATGCTTGCGTGTAGAAGGAATTACACTAACCTCAGCACCGGTATCAATGAGGAAACTCAAGGATGTGGAGCGATCATATACGAAGAACAGGCGACAGGTAGAGGAGCCGGTTGCAGTGGTCGCCATTACCGGCCGGCCATGGCGTTGCCCGAATTCGAAGGCTTTGTGGAGAGTGCAAAGTCTGGTGCATCGGATAGCGCGGTTGCCGAAGCGACGGTAATAGTAGCACCAGCCAGGTTGATCACTGTGCTTGTGAGCACAGCTGTGGGATCGTGACCTAGATCGTCTATGTCGTTGAGGGCGACCTATGAGTTTGGTGACTTCATTTAGTTGGAGGGATAACTCAGAAAATCGAGCTTTCATTGCATTGAACTCGACCACCAGGTTAGATTGCGAAGTATATTGTTGCTGAACGTTAGAGACCACGAATTGTCTGCAGGTTTCATGGAGGCGGTCAGCCACCTCGGCTAGCTTCGCTAAGGAAGAATCTTGCTCGATGACAGAAATGACTTTACGGACTTCGATGGGCAGGCTTTGTTGCCAAAGTTTTTTTCAAAACCGCATCGTTGAACGGATGCTTACCTTGCAGGTGCATCATGTGGCGGAGATGTTGTGACGGTGTTTTATCACCGAGAGAGAAGCTTTCGCAGATTCTGCTCATCGCTGGAAGCGGTACGAGAAACAATAACTGTTTTGAGAGCATCGTACGGATCGGTGGACGGTCGGGTGTATGTTAAATCAGAGACTTCTCGGGCAACGAAGTGTGGTAAGCATCCTACCACACAATTGTATCTGCTGCTCTGCGAAGTAATGCGACGCGATTCGAAAATGGCCTCAAGTTGGGCGAACCATAGCCTCGGATCACGTACACCGAATTCAGGCAACTTAACGTAAACAACGTTGTCTATTTCGGGTGTCGCTGTCTGCTCAGAAGCCATGCTGACGTGGAAAATAAATATAATAAAGCACGGGAGTACTGCAGAGAAAAAAAT